TATGTCGTAATCTATAAGCCGTAAAAGACCAATCACCTTCGAGTATTCTCTTCTTATCGCCGAATGAAAGAGAAATACTTGACTATGATTAATTCTTACAGATTACGGTATACAGCATACGGTTATGGCTAATATAAACACTCCCATACTTTATTCTTGTTGTTCATTAAATATTAATACTCTCTGAGCTAATCGTTGCGTAAATGCACTCATATAATACTGAACGGAGCATTAGTCGGAGCATTAGAACGGATATACAATAGATGTTTTAAAAAGTCTTAAAAAACTGACCAATTCGTCCAGATCTACAACAGATTTTTAAGCCTTAAACCGTAAGAAATGGATGAATCACAATCGATTATTCTTTTCACATTTTGTTGTGATCATTTTTTACTACTTAAGGCTTAAAAATATTTATTGTAGATGTGAACTTACAGTACTCAAATGAATTTACTCAAATGCGAAAAGAATAATCAACTATGATCCGTCCATTTCTTATGGATTAAGGCTTAAAAATCTATTGTAAATCCGAGCTTCAGCGGGGAGCACATATTCTTGCATAATGCATAAGGGAATTAACCAATTCTTCTTTTCCATGAAATGGAAGAAAAAGAAAATGCAAACCGTCTGCGAACTGTGTTGTGCGTTTGCGCAGACTTATGTACACAGTTCTTAAGAGAAATACAATTGAATAATTTTTTTATGCATACGTTTGTGCAGCTATACAAGTTTGTATGAATATATCCTAACCGCTGTGCATCGCTGCGTAATGGCCCTGGTCTAATGGAATTGGCGCAATGCGGAGTTGACGGAACGTGATTGCTTCATTCCGCCGATTCCGTTCCGCTGTGTTTTCCTATATCTCATTGAGCGGAATTTGCGGAATGCGCAATTAGCTCTAACCAATCGCAAGATTCTCGCAAGATCTTTCGTAGATCACTTTTATTAGATCATCACATCTTTCCGTAGATCACTTTTATTAGATCTATCAGAATAGCGTTCATCATTGGCTTGCATCGATTCCGTATCCGCAAGTTCCGCTCAATGGGACATAGGAAAATGAATTGCTGCGGATCAGAAACACACATACATACAGGAACATTACCCCGACTTCATTTTGATTTACATTTTTGCTTTTCTGTATATATATGACATTCGTGTTCTGATCATATTGACTTTCGTATTTATCTGAGAACTTAATTAATTACCTTCTGTATGAGTATTTTATATATTACATTCAGAATTCCATCCGAGTGCCTTCATTCTTGTTTTTTTTTCAAATATTAAACAAGGATGACATAACACCTGAAGAATATCCAGGTGGTAATATGAACATGTTTCAGCATTGTTTGTTTTATCTCTTGGGAGCTGCTCGGGGTCACTTCCAACGTACTTGAAATAGGATTCACACTACATATGATATCCATCATACGACATCTGATATTCATTATCTGCGTTCAGCGGACAGTTGAGTGAGCGTGTTATTAGTGTATTCTTTTAAATCCAATCATTTTAGATCTGGAAGAATACATCAATAGCAGCGAGCGCTCAACTATTGAGTCCGCTGAACGCAACCATCATTACGATTCTATATTTCAAGTACGCTGAGTTTATTTGGAGCGAGCTCGAGCAGCTTCCAAGAGATAAAACAAACAATACTATTGACTAAAAATTATGCGCTTATAGAAGACAGTTTTCTCTCTTTAAACCAGCTTAACTATGATGAAAAATACCAGATGTTCCGTTTCCGTGATTGCACAGTAGCAGGAATCTAAGCAAAAATTGATTGATTCCAATATGCCAGCGCTATTATACGCAGAAAAGTCAATTTAGACAAAAATTTGATTGGTTATTTTCAGTATTACTATCGTCATTATGCACAATGGAACACTTGGTGTTCTTACATCAGTTTAATGAGATCAGTTTAATTAGTTTTTATAAGTATATGCACATACACATGTACAGGTATTGGCGAAATCCGCAAAAGAAATAAATTTGCGCAACAGAAAACAGCGGAATCAGCGGAATGAAGCCACGACCAATCACGAATGTTTCGCTAATTCCGCATTGCGCCAATTCCGCATGGGACCGCGCCATAAGGGTCGCGCTGTTCCATTCCGCTAAATTTCCTTTCATGGAATGGTCTAAACGAATGCAAGGAATATCGATGATGCGTGCAAAATACTCCGTGGTATGTATGCATGTATGTATGTATGTATGTATGTATGTATGTATGTATGTATGTATGTATGTATGTACACACGTATACAATGATGTGATCAAGTGACAGTAATACTTCCCGCAAGGCGTATAACAAGTGACAGTAATACTTCCCGCAAGGCACTAAAATCACCCCGTCTCAATTTTCTATGGATTTTCCGGAACCATGGGCGAGTTCAAAACGAAGCATGCTTGCTGAGCGAATGAGCAATTGATTCTTATTTGTAGATCCAATCATGTTTAATTGCTTGGAGAGCAGACCTAGTCGCTTTGTCGACTTGAACGCGCCCCATGTTTCGACACAGTATGGGACTCCTCACAATAAAAGGAATAGGAAATAGAGAACAGAGAATAAGAATTTCAATCTATCAGAAATCATGTATTGTGGGATACAAAGTTTCTGGTAGGTTGAAATTCTTATTCTCTGTTCCTTGTTCCTTTTATTGTGCTGAGCCCCTGTAAATACATACAGTATGGACACTATCGATATCTTTGATGTGGGTCTCAGGTCACATGATTTGCCGCCATGTTGGAAAGATACTTATAAATTTGAATTTTTATAAAGCTACAGAATGATTTTTCTAAAAAAAAAGACATAATTCGATCATGTCATGAAAATTGTAATTAAATATGAAGTTTTTTTATTTATAGCGACTATATTTTTAAATCAAAATTATATAATAATTATATAAT